GGGCTCGAACTCACAGATTGTGAGATCATGACCTGAGCTGAAGTTGGACACTTCACCAACTGAGCCACCCAGGCGCCCCATACATTTCCTTTTTTAAGGACAAGTAAGAATGAAAGGGGAAGCAGGTGTTCCATACCAGATGATAGTAACAGTTTAGGCCAAAAAAATAAATGTAATTAGCAGGAGAGGCAAGATTTAGTATTTCTATGATGGACTTTTCCCCATACATTTTAGTATTTTATTAATTTTTTTTTTTTTTTTTTTTTTTTTTTTTTTTTTTTTTTTTTTTTTTTTTACAGAATCCATGTGAAAGAGCTTAGGCTCATTAGCCAGGTTAGAGCAAGAAATAATCATAAACTCATGGCTTATTCTTGGAAGGCAGCAATTTTATAGATAAGCTGATATTTTGAACTGGTGAATAAGTCATTTACAAGTTTGTAAAAAGCATTAAAGGCAACCCAAAAACAATAGAAATGTCCTAATCAATTCATGAAGTATATAAGGAATCTGATAAGCTGATTTTTTAAAAGAGTTATCAACCCTCTAATTTTGCTTCTAGTTGTTGCCTGTGCTTTTAATGTCATATCTATGAAATCATTGCCAAGACCAATGTCAAGAAGATTTCTCTATGTATTTTCTTCTAGGAGTTGTCAGGTCTTATGTTTAGGGCTTTGCTCCATTTTTGAGTTGCTTTTTCTGTATGGTATAAAATAAAGCTCCAAATTCACTCTTTTCCATGTGGATATCCAGTTCCCCAGCACTATTTATTGAAAAGTATGTCCTTTCCTCATTATGTATTCTTGCCACCCTTGTTGAATATCAGTTGGCCATATGTTTTTGGTGTGAATTTATTTCTAGGGTCTTCATTCTGTTCCATTGATCTATACGTCTATCTTTAGGCCAGTACTCAACTGTTGTAATTACCATAGTTTTGTGATATACTCTGAAACCACAAAGTGTAACACTTTCAGTTTTATTCTTCTTTTTCAAGGCTGCTTTGGCTATTCAGGATGTTTTGTGGTTCCAGAAAAATTTTAGAATTGCTTTTGATATTTCTGTAAGAAATGCTCCTGGTATTTTGGTAGAGATTGCACTGGATCTGTAGATCACTTTGGGTAGTATGGACATGTTAAGTAAAGTTAGACAAGTAGGATTACTTGTCAAACTAAAAAGGTTCTGCACAGCAATCAACAGAGTAAAAAGGCAACCTACAGAATGGGAGGAAATATTCATAAGATATATGTCTCATAAAGTGTTAATTTTTAAAATATATAAGAAACTCTTGCGTCTCAATAGCACAAAAACTCATAACCTGATTTTTAAAAATAGGCTAAAGACTCAAACACACATTTCTCCAAAGAAGACCTACAAATGGCCAACAGGTACAGTATATGAAAAGATGCTCAACATCCGTAATCATCAGGGAAATGCAGACCAAAACTACAATGAGATATAATTTCACACCTATTAGGATGGCTATTAAAAAAAAAAAAGAAAGAAAGAAAGACAGCAAGTGTCGGTGAGGATGTAGAGAAACGATAAGTCTTGTACATTGTTTATGGGAATGCAAAATGGTGCAGCCAATGTGGAAAACAGTATGGAGGTTCCTCACAAAAATAAAAATAGAATTACCACATGATCCAGCAAGTCCTTCTGGGTATTTATCCAGAAGGATTGAAATCAGTATCTCAAAGAGATATCCAAACCTCCATGGTCATCACACTGCTATTCATACTAGCCAAGATAAGAAAACAATCTAAATATTCATCAACAGATGAATGGATTTTAAAAATGCAATACATGCATACAATAGCAAACCATTCAGCCTTAAAAAAAGAAATCTGGAAATATGTGACAATATGATTATCCTTGAGGACATGATGCTAAATGAAATAAGCTAGTCACAGAAGGACAATTCCATTTATATGAAGGATTCCATTTATATGAAGTATTTAAAATAATCAAACTCAGAGAAACAAAGAATAGAATGGTGTTATTTTTACTTTTATTTATTTTTATTTTATTTTTTATTTTTATATGCACAAGCCCCAGGAAAAGTAAATGAAGCTACCAGTACCTACCAGTACTAGGAGTGAACAGGAAGGCAACAGAGGACAAAGAATGGTAGAGAGGGGAAAATAAACTCTAAGGGCCTGCTCTGGGCCAGGTGTTTGCATTTGCCATTGCATTTATGCTTCATAACATTGAGAGTGTTTCTGTTTCTCCACAGAAACCACATCATACCTATGACTTGCTCCCTGGGCCAGTCCATGGTACTGTAGTACCAGAACCATTTTTCCTGAGGGACATCCCTTTTCCTACAGCATTTTGAGGATACGGATATTACGAAAATGTTCCTTCGTCAGAAGAGGAGGTAGTTCCTTAAGTATTTAATGCCAGCCAATTCTTCCTTTTTACAGATATGGCACTCTAGACTGAGGAAAAGGAGATCTCTTCCAAACTACCCAAGATATTGACCATTACTCACCTTGCTATGAATTCTAGTGGTTGCAAACATTTTCTTGCAGATGCAGTACTAACGTCTCTGAATGTCACAGGTACCTACCTTTCAGCACTGAATCTGATGTCCCTTCCAGGGAAACAGAAATGGCCCAAGGCTCTGAGGGAGGCCCCAAGGACTCTATTCTCTGATTCTGGAAATAAAAAAAATAAGGTGGGGAGAAGTAGATTGAGAAGAGAACTTGGGGAAGTTATCTAAAACATAAAAAAAAAAAATCAGACAGAATCTTTTATGAAACACATATTCAGCAGAGACATGCAAAGGAAGGAAAATGATAAATATTTTCTGTCTTATGTTAAGAACGTATCAAAATTAGCTTATCAAGAAAAGAGAATGGAGATTATCAAAGGAGAAGTTTGGACAGATCAGTGAAGAGGAGAAAGGAAAGCTAAGTTTACAGAAGAGAGTGGCATTATGTGTTGAAGGTTCACAAGGAAGGTTTGATTGAGAGAAGAGAGCAGGACCACACTGGCCGAGTGTCAGATTACTTCAAAAAGGACAGGTTTCCAAGTGTGGACCTAAATCTCACAGTCTTCCTCCCTGTGCCAACAGGGCAGGGGTACATTTTTACAATAAAGAATAGAAAGCTGATTCAACTATCTCATTTTACTTCTCCCCCACTCCCATGACTTAATATTAAAAAAACTAGAATCAGAGGGCATGGACACTAAAATTAGAATTAAGCACAGATGCCTTTGTTGATGATTTACTTAACCACATATAAAAGAAATCATTTAAAATAGCAAAAAGCTATAATGCAGATGTGGTAGCATAAATTCCTTCATTAGCATATGAAATGACTTCTTTGAGAAGGCTAGATCTCCAAAAGATATGAGAGACCTGCTTCAAGAATTTGGCTGGGGAGGAAAAGTATCAGGATTTGATTTTTATTCTTGATCACATTCTGGGCACTCAGAGAAAGTAGAAGGAAACCAAGTGTGAGATGGAAGGAAGATGGCAAAAGGGCAAAAGTATTATTAGAGGTTCTCAGTGCAGCAAACACCGCATGGGGCACTCTGTCAATGTGTGACATGGTGGTGAAATCTAAAACATGTGCCAGATATGACATGCTCCCAGCCCTAAAGAGAGGTTGTTACCCATGAACCAGTTACCTGCTTATCCAGAAAAACAAGCTGTGGTTGTACCCTAAGTTCCTTTCCCACTTCTCCATCCGAAGGCTGGACCAGAACTGAGAGAGCATGGGGCCGAATGTATATCAAATTCCTAGTTTTAAAACTGCTTGTATTTCTGGCATGCATAGACAAAAATAGAATAATCCATAAGGTTACGGATATCATGGCAATAACTATTTCTATAATGCATTATTGCCAGTGAAAATATCTGCAGTTGCTTTTGCTTCTAGAAACTTTGTAATGCACTCTATAGGAAATATGATCTTACAACCAAAAAATAATTATATATTTATTGTTTATGCTTGCTTTTAGCATGGGCAATGGATGGACTGGGCGTGTGGGAGGTGTGGGGAGAAGCACAAATTATGAACTTAGATTTTGTCACCATTCATTAATGTCAGTCCCAAGAATGCCTTATCAGACTAAAATATTTAGAAGGTGCAGATATGTTCACTACTCTGCTCAAAAACCAGCTCTCCCCACAAAGGCTCTGATTTGTAGTGTTTTCCAATTTTGATGATATAAATACTTCTACCATGGCTGATTCTATGACACCGAGATGACGTCATTGGAACAAGTTGGCAGAGGTGCCTGACAGCAAGCTCCAGCAACGGCGCTGTGTTACTTGGAATAGTTCATTTAATCCTAACAACAACCCTTTCGTATTTACATTCTCCACAGTGTGCTTGCACTAAATAGGCTCAATAACTGTGGAATTAATTGATTAATGTATTTTAATTGAATGAAGCCCTCAGGGAGAATAATAACT